TTGTGATTAGCTATTGTGAAAGGTATTGTTTCTCTTAGTTCTGGCTCTGTATTCTTTTTGTCACGGTAGAGAAAGCCAACTGATTTTTGTATGTTGATGGGATTTCATTCTTAAGTTTAGCCACAATTTGTTGCGATGCACACAGTCAAATGCCATTGCATAGTGGATCAAACACAAATAGACATCCTTCTGTTACCCTTTGCTTCCAGCCAAGATAGATCTGACACCAGCAATTATATCTCTAAGGTCATGGCCTCTACTAAAACCAACTAGAACTTCTGGCAGTTCTTTGTCACAGAATTCTAGTGGGTTTTGGGTAATCTTTGGGTTGTTTTGGTTTTTTTTTTATTACATGTGGTATTAATGATATTGTTCAATAATTTCCACATTCTGTTAGGTCACCTGTTTTGGGTATGGGAATAAATATAGCTCTCTTCCAGTGAGTTAGCCAAGTAGCTGTCCTTCAGATTTTTTGGCACAACCTGGTGAGCACATATAGTGCTACATCTGTTTGTTGAAATATGTCAATTAGTATTCCATCAATTCCTGGGGCCTTATATTTTTACCAGTTCCTTCAGAGCAGCTTCAACTTCTTCCTTTATTATCACTGATTCTTCTTGATCAGATGTTTTTTTAACATAAAAAATGTTTTAATTTTTGTTTATTACTGCACATTTTCTTCCCCATCCTCTTTCTTCTCCCCCAGCCCTTCTTTCATTGCATCTCTTGTTCCAGATTGTTATCGTGCATATAATGCCTAATCATATATTCCTTTTAAACAGTTCTTCCCTTAATCTGAGCTAATGGAGTGTTCATTATTTGCTTTTTTTCTTTCTCCAACATCCACCATGCCTGTCCTATTTTATAACAGTGGTGCTATGCAGTATTTGTCCTTTTGTGACAGAGATATTTCACTCAACATATTATCCTTCAGGCTCACCAATATTGTATAATGTTCATTGTTTTTCAGTGCTATGTACTATTCCATTATGTGATTGTACAATAGTTTTCCTATCCATTCATTTGTTGATGGGCACTTGAGTTGCTTCTCTTTGCTATTGTGAATAACGCAGCAATACACATGGATGTACATACAACTGTTTGAATCATAACTCTGATTTCTTTAGGATATATTCCCAGTAGTGGCATTGCTGGGTCAAATGTATTTCTATTTCCAATTTTTTTGAGAAAATGCCAGATTGCCTTCCATAGTGTTTGTACCATTTTACACTCCCTCTATCAGTGAAAAGAGTTCCAGCCCCTCCCCACCCTCACCAGCATTTGTTGTTTGCTGCCCTGTTGAACTTGGCTGTTGTTTGTTTGTGAAAAGGTTTTGTACCAACCAAATTCTTTTTTTATTCCTTCTATCTTCTTTTGATGCTTCCTGAATCATTCCAGATTTCCCCCATAGCATCTTTCAGTATTGCAACTCAAGGCTGAATTTGTTCTTCACTTTCTTCAACTTGAGAAATACCAAGAATATTTTCTTCCATTCTTATTTTCTGACTCCAGCCCCATTATAATATTTTGCTTTGTCTTCAGGAGCTGCCCTTTGAAATCTTCTGATCAACTCTTTAACTTTCTATTTCTTCCCTTTGTTTTGACTTCTCAGTGTTCTAGTGCAGTATTCAGAGTCTCCTCTGACATCAATTTTAGTCTTTTCTACCTCTTTGCATAGTAACCTTTGGCTTTCTTCATGAATGATATTCTTGATATCATCTCACTGTTCCTCTGGTCTTCATTAGTGTTCATTTCCTCAAACCTGTTATTGAGATGGTTTTTTACATTCAGGTGGGATAAACTCAAGGTCATACTTTGGTTTTTGTAGATTTGTGGTCATTTTCCTTTGCTTCAATTTGAACTTGCCCGGGGGTAGTTGATGGTCTGTTCCACAGTCAGCACCTTGCCTGCTTGATGATGCATTTCTTCCACGATTTTTTCCACAGATGTAATCAATCTGATTCCTGTGTAGTTCATCTGGTGAAGTCCATATGTGTTGTTGCCATTTATTATGATTTTTATAGAAAGTGTTTTCAATGAATAAATCATTGTACAGAAATCTATCACTCTATCTCTAGCCTCATTTTTGTCACATGCCTATAATTTCACACTACTGGTTTTTCTTTCTTGTTCCCAACTTTTGCATTCTAGTCATCAGTTATTATTAATTAATCTTGCTTGCATATTTTATCAATTTCAGACTGTAAAAGTTAGTATAAATCTATTTTCTCCTATTTGACGCTATTAGTGCATATATTTGAATGACAGTGATATAAATAGGTCTTCTTTGTATGCACATACTCTAATTCACAATGCTGTTCTTCAGGATCTAGAAATTGTCTTTTGACTATGAATGTAACCCCATTGTTCTTCATTTTTTTCGTTCCCAGCATAGTAGATCATATGATTATCTGATTCAAAGTGGCCAATGCTAGTCCGTCTCACCTTGCCTAGTAAGTTTTATGAGTTCAGTTTCTTTTTTAATACTGTCCAATTTTCCTACATTCATACTTCGAACATTCCATGTTCCAATTGTTAGTGAGTGTTTGAAACTATTCCTCCTCATTTTTGGTGTCTTCTGATATGAGGGCTAATAATCTAGTGCTCTATCTAATAGCCTAAGTGTGTTCTGTTGTTCATAGGGCTTTCCAAAGCTTATTATTTCAGAAGTGAGTGGCCAATCCTTCCTAGTCTGTCTTGATTTAGGAGTTGCTGTAAATCAAAGCTGACCCAACTCAACACCTCTGTAATTATATTTCACTGCTGACCAAAAGGTTACCCTTTTCCTGTGCTTTGAATCCACTAGCAGCTCTAAAGGAGAAAATTGAGCAATTTCCTCTCGTTAAAGATTTACAGCCTAAGATCCCCACTGGAAGGTTGTTATGAGTTGGCTTCGACTTGCTGGCAGTGATTTTAGGTGGTGTTTCTGTCTCCTTTGTAGTAGGTTTAAATCACTAATCTTTCAGTTAGCCCAAGTATGTAGCCATTGCACCACCAGGGTTGCTAATGTGGACATATTTACACACACACACATACACACAGAGTATATGCAGAAAATATTTATTGTTTACCTGAAATGAAAATTTAACTTGTTGTTGCTTTGTGCTGTGAAGTCAGAACCAACTCTAAGCTGCAGGGGAGGGGATCTCCTAGCCTTTGCTTGACATCACAGCTCTCTCCCACCAGACCTCCAGGGCTCTAGGCGTTCTGGGTTTTTCTGACTACAGTTTTCTGTATCCTTCTGGATTGCTTCACTCTCTTTAAAGGATATTTTAATGTATTAATTGTATGCCTTTTAAAAAAATTCAAAAGAGAAAAAGAATAAAACAGTGTTCTCTTAAAACTACACAAAAGTATTAATATAAAAAGAAAACTGGCCTAGACAAAATCAGACTACAAAATAGCGCATATACTAAGATCCCTGCTTTAGAAAACGAGAAGCAACATGCACGTGTATGCGTGTAATAAAAGACCAAAGGATGTTCCTAAGAATGTTAGCAGTGGTTCTGTTTGGTGATGAGATTACCAATGATTTCACTTTCTTCTTTTTGCTTCCTAAAATTCTTAACATTTGCTTACAGGGAACATAAACTACCTTTGTAGAGACCACTCTTTTCCTGTGCTTCTGCAAAGTCTTCACCAAAGTTGTTCCTGCTGCAGCATCCCTGCGGGGGAAGTGGGAGGCAGCAGCATGGGCATCACATGTAGTTCAAAGTCTTAAAGAATGCTGCTCTCCCATGTCCTTGTAGGTTACCTGCAGAAGCAGCCCTACTTTGGAGCAGTGGTTGGTAGAGTAGCCAACCGAATTGCCAAAGGCACATTCACATTGGATGGGAAGGAATACAAGCTGGCCATCAACAAAGAGCCCAACAGCCTGCATGGAGGTGTCAGAGGATTTGATAAGGTAAGTCAGGCCATTGGAAAGAATTCCATACAAAATACCCTCAAGCATACTTTCTGTTTGCTTGTTACAATCCCAGGCTCTAAAGCAAATAGAGCATGGTAAAGGATATCTGTTGGGAGAGCAATGCCCGGCCATCTTCCAGGAAGCATCCTTCTCTAATTCATAAAATAACAAACAGGAATGTTCCAAGTGAAAGGACTTGGGAAGGGCAGAGAACTACTTTCTCACAATGTTTGGGTCAGGTTACATAACCTTCCTGACCTCTGTTCCATCAGCACTAAAATGAGACTAAATAGTAGTGTCCATCCCATACTAGTATCCCAAAGATGAAATAAATTAAGTGGGATCAGGGGATTAGGTCGGCTTGAGACACAACAGAATTGCAGTTTAGTAATAATAACCACTACTTGCTTTACAAAACGTTCGTATTCAGTATCTCTCAACTGCAGCCTTCAATATGGTTTGAGGCTCAATGTCAAGAAGACAAAGATTCTCACCACTGGACCAATTGGCAGCATCAGGATGGATGGTGAAGAGATTGAGATTGTTCACAGCTTTAGT